TTTTTTTTATTTGTTTATTTATTTATTTTGTGTGTGTGTGGCTAGCTCAGCCCACCAGGGGGCAGGGCTGGCTGGCATGTGGTGCTGGGGGATTGAACCGAGGTCCCTGTGCTTTGCTTAGCTTAGCTTGTTCTAAGTAGGTGCTTTAAACCACTGAGCCATCTCACCAGCCCTTCTATACCGTTTGATAAGGACAAGAAATAATGTATACCAAGTTTCAGATGCCAATGAAAAGAAAATGTGTTTTAGTACTTTTTGTTGTTTTATATTTTTAATTGTGGATCTTGTGTTTTACAGATTGAGGCTTTTATTCTCCAGCTCTGTAGCATTTGCAAAGTTTGAGATAATTTTATATCTCTCTGCTCATTATCCATTGGTCCAATTACCTTTTACCATTCGAAATTACCTTGGGAACACTGGGTAAGTAAGAGACCAGCAGGGTAAAATAGGCTACTTTTTCACATTTGTTATTTCATTTGAAAGATTCTTTCAAGTGGTCTGCAAATGAGTAGTGAGAGCTAAGTGTCACTTTTTTTTACCTGTGCTGTAAATCAAACCCAGAGCCTTATGCCTTATTCATGTTATGCAAGTGCTCTACCAGTGAGCTACATCCCTATACCTGAGAATGGTTTTGTTTTTGTTTGTTTTTGAGTTTTGAGACGTAGTCTCACTATGTAGTTCAGATTGACTTTTGTTTTAGTTACTTACCTCTCCTTGCTGAGAAAAAATACCTGACTGAGGCTGAAAGCAGGATCACTATGAATCACCTAAAATTGAGGAAGGACAGGTTTATTTAACTCACAGTTAGTGGAGGTTTCCATCCATACTCAGCTGACTCCAAAGCAGGGTAGCATGGTAAGGGACAACACCCAAGACAGCAAGAGCAAAAGAGGCGGGGAGCAAGCCTTTTTCCTCCCTTATATTGTAAGCAGGCTGGGTGTGTATAACACTCACACTATTTTCATGCCCTCCTGTTGCACAGGTTGAAGATGTTTGCAAAGTAAGGACCCTGGCTCCCTGCTCAGTCTGTTAAACTTATGAACTTCTCAAGTTGACACATGTATCAACCATTACTTGAACTCACTGAGTAGTCCAGGCTGGACTTTTTAACTCTGTGATCCTCCTGTCTCAGCCTCCCATGTGCTGGAATTGCAGGCCTTTGCCACTATGCCCAGTAGAGAATCTCTTCTTTTATACAGACTTCAGTTTTTTAATTCACTTATACTTAAAACAGGAATCAAGGAGGAGAAAATTCTATATAAACTTAGCTCCCATCATAGGGAAACAATTTTACGGTCTTAATTTAAAATGGAGGGGCTGGAGAGATGGCTCAGTGGTCTAAAGCACCTACTTGGAACAAGCTTGGCAAAGC